CATCTAATTGTCGCTCTTATCATCGTCATCTAGATCTAAAACTAGGAGGGGCATTCCTCGTTCAATTTTAGATCTAGACGAGGAATATTCCTCGTCCTCATCTAGAATGATGAACACCTCGTTCCTTATTGATGGTGACAGTTTTTTGGCAACAACGTTCGTGAGACTCACCTTAGGGGAGAAAAGGAGAAAGGAAGGAAATTAGAGAAAAAAATCTAGTTACCAAAAAGTACTATTAATTTAATATATATAATTTCGCCAAATCAGCATAGTACGTATACAAAATCAACAATTTTTTCACCATGTTATTTTATCGTTAGTTAACTAATGGTCAAGGAGCTTAGAGACCATTTAAGAATATTTTCCAAAAGTGTCCCTTTTGAAATTTCAGAGACCAAATTGTTAGGGTTGCAAGGAGTGTAAATAAAATCTCACAATGGTTAGGGAAGGAGGTTTTCCGTTGTTATATGGATGATGACAATTATCTCCATGGTACGAGGCTTTTTGAATGTGAGACCAAAAGCAAAACTATGAGACTTATACCATAAGTAGACAATATCATACCATTGTGAAGATACTTGGAGGTACCATTGTTCATAATAAGTGGTATCAAAGCCATGGTCTAAAACCTAGTTGTGTGGGAGAAATTCTCAGAAACCAAATAAAAATGATTTCTGATCCTTATAGACATTAATTACGAAAATTGTGATGAATCTCTACATCAAATAAAAAGTGCTCGAGGTGGCGAGCAAGCTAAGACATATTCTCTATGTCGTGTGACGAGCAAGACATATCATATCAAGTCATGTAGATTGAAGTCAGGTCGACTAATAGGAAGAAGGATGAGGCTTTGTTCGAGCGGAGGAGATTGAGGGTGCGATAGTGGTCATCGATACTAGGCTCTCGTTGTCATTCGAGAGTGGATGGGTCAAGCTCTTATGTCGGGGAGTGGATGAATGAATGACTATTCAAGAAAAGATACAAGTGGTATTTATTTGAGGGGAGGATGATAAGGATTGCAATTCTTGCAAACAAAGCCTCACATTAGCTAGAGAGAAAGACGTGATCTATGGTATATGATAAGGATAATTATCTTTATTGGTGTGAGATGTCTTTTATTATGAACTTTAGTAGAATGAAAAAATATAACAAGTCAAGAATTCAATGTAAGCTTCATTAATGGATAAAAATGATAGTGAGCCCTTAATATAGAGGAGCTTTGGAAAGAAGAGATTACAACGAATTGATAACAGCACAGAAGCTGATTTGTAACTAATAATAGAAAGTTAAAACTGACTTTAAGTGTATTTAGTGTGCTATCTTAGTATCCCCCAAGCCAATGTCAGTAGGAGAGGAAACATTGAGCTTGGACCTTAAAGCCAAAAACGACTTTGCAGACAACAGTTTTGTAAGAATATCAGCCACCTGCTCATGTGTAGGAACATGATAAACAACAAGTTTCTTCTGTAATACCAAATCTTGAACAAAATATATATCAAGTTTCATACGCTTTGTACGAGAATATAATATAGGATTGGTGCTCAAATGAACTGCACCGAGATTATCACACCACAAGATTAGGGGCTGAGACAGAGGTATAGAAAGTTCAGTAAGGAACGATTTCAACCAAACAAGCTCCATAGCAGCATTGGCCAAACATCTGAACTCGTCCTCTGTACTAGATTTAAAGAAAATATTCTGTTTCTTCGATCCCCACGAAACCAGATTACCACCAAAATAGATGTAGAAACCCGAGGTTGATTTTTTGTCATCAAGGTCGGATGCCCAATCAGCATCAGCAAATCCATGAACAGTGATAGCAGATGGTTTTGAAAGCAATAAACCGTGATGAAGAGTCCCTTTAAGGTATCTTAAAATACATTTAGTAGCCTTCCAAGGAAGAAGTGTGGGAGCATGCATAAATTGGCAAATTTTGTTGAGTGAATAAGCAATTTCGGGGCGTGCAATCGCAGCATACTGCAGAGATCCAACTATACTTCTGTAAAATGAAGGATCTGAAATCAATTCACTGCCTCTAGCTGATAAGATAGAGCCACTCACCATTGGTGTTGATATCGCATTCGCTTCAAACATCTTAGAACAATGGAGCAAATCAGTAATATATTTAGTTTGGGAAAGAAACATACCACCCATTGTGAGTGTATGAGAACTCTATTCCCAGAAAATAATTGAGTACACCCAAGTCTTTAAGAGCAAACGTTTTATGAAGACAGCAGATCAAAGAACTAATAGTAGAAGGTGAAGAACCAGTAACAATTAAGTCATCCACGTATATGAGAACATAACAAGTATCAGTAGAAGTGACTCGCATAAACAAGGATGTGCCTGCTCTGGAATTTACAAAACCAGCAGTGAGTAAGAAGTCCTTTAACCGATCATACCATGATCGAGGCGCCTGTTTGAGCCCATATAAAGGCTTTTTAAGCTTACACACTAATGGAGTTGATGAGGAGGAAGATGTAGTAGAGAATCCGATCGGTTGTTCCATGAAAACATCCTCAGATAACAGTCCATGAAGGAAAGCATTATTGATGTCTAATTGACGAATTACCCCATTCTTGTGGAGAGCCATAGTTAAGAGAACCAAATTGTTATAGGTTTAACTACGGGGCTGAATGTCTCAGAATAATCAAAATCAGCCACTTGATGAAAACCTTTTACTACCAATCGAGCCTGTATCTAGATATGGAGTCATCAAAACTCCTTTTGATTTTAAAAACCCACTTGCAGCCTATAATCTTTTTATCTCTGGGAGTAGGGACCAAATCCCAAGTTTGATTAGCTAAAAGAGCAGCACATTCAGTCTCCATAGCTTGCTTCCAATGTGTACATTCCAATGCAGTCTTAGCATTAGGAGGTTCAGTATCCAAAAACTCAGATAAAAAGGCATTAGGTTTCCAAATGCTATTCTTTGAGCGTGTAACCATTGGATGAGTATTCAAGATAGAACGAACCTTGGGTGGATGTAGTTAATGTAATAGGTAAGGAAGTTATAAACTGTGGTGGGATAGAATTAGTATGATTGGATTGAGTAGTGTTTGGGGATAGAGACTGATGTACTAATGAATCAGACATAGGAATAGGTAAATACAATGAAGAATTAGAAAATGATGTATTAGTGGGTATATCTGGAGAATGGATTGGATGAAAATTAGGTTCATTTGGAAGGATATTAGAACTTAGAAGGGGCAGGAGATGCAAAATCTGGTGTGATAGGTGGAGTTGTAGCAGCTGAAACATGAGGGGCGACAGAGGAAGATAAAAGACACAGTAGGAAGAGAGGCAAGACTATGAGTTAGAGGCTTGTGTGATTCTGATTTAGATTGAGATTTATATGGGAAAATTGCTTCATTGAAAACAACATGGCGAGAGATGAATAATTTGCCATTGCTCTCAAGACATTTATATGCATGATGAATATTACTATAACCTAACAATAGGCAAGGTGCAGATCTAAATTGAAGTTTGAGTTTGTTAAACGGTTTGAGATACATTTACCTTAAAGGACTTGTGTTGGTAGTCTATTAATAAGGTAGACTGAGTTGGAGAAAGCATCATCCCGAAATGTTAATAATGCCATTTTGTTCGGACGTGTTGTTTAAGAAAAGGAGTGAATGAACGAAATTCACCTCCCCAATCTTTTTGAAGCATTTTGATAGAATGATTAAAGAGTTTTTCAACTTGAGTTTCAAAAGTTATAAATGTTTTAAGCGAGGGCTCTAATATCATATTAATATTCATGAGGCTCCATCTAAAAACCAATTAACAATAAGAAGAGTGACCCATGCCTATTATAAACCTATGTTAGGTCCCATCTCTTTTCAATGTGGGATCCTTAACATGCCCCTTTAAGATCGCGGCTCTTTTTGGCTCATCGATCTTGACCGGATCCCATTTTCTATTGGACCGGATGCTCGTTTGAGCTTTTGGGCTCTGATACCATATGAACTTTAGTAGAATGAAGAAAGCATAACATGTCAAGAATTCAATGTAATCTTCATTAATTGATAAAAGTGACAGTGAGCCCTTAATATAGAGGAGCTTTGGAAAAAAAGAGATTACAACGAATTGATAACAACACAGAAGCTGATTTGTAACTAATAACACAAAATTAAAACTGACTTCAAGTATATTTAGTGTGCTATTTTAATATTTACGAAACCAAAAGTAAAAGTCATGAGATTATTCCTAAAGTGGAAAATATCAAACTATTCTAAAATACATAGAAGTACCCGTACCGATGCAAATAGACATTAACTTCAAAGCTTCATGGATCAAGACCGTATTTTTTTTTCCAATTTATAATTTTACTATTTATTATTTATTATTATTTAAAAATAGAAGTAGTGAGGAGTGGGAATAAGAGGAATGGGGTTGATTGATTGAGACGTGGCCAATCGTGCATGACCCTTTGATAGATAGTTCTATTCTTATCCATTTTGGGATAACTCTTGCCACGTTCGAAATTTCATTTCACTTTTCTCTTTATGGTAATTTCACCAATTACAATTTAAAACTTTAATTCTTTTTTTCTTTCAATTTTAATTATAGATTTTAGATTTATTAGAAATCGGGCTATTTCTTTTCACATTTTCAAATATAGATATATTTTTTTTTCAAAAATAGATAGCTTCTTAAAAATTAAATATTTCTTTTTCGTTTCCATCGATTTCTATAGTGCAACAGAGGTGGGAAATGAGATTGGATCTTTATGATTAGAAAACGAACCATATAAATTATACATATTATTATTTTTAAAAAATTGTGAGTTTGGTGATTCAATTGAAATTAATTTGTTATAAGGGTTCTTCTATGAATTATATTAAATAATTAATTATTATAATTTTTTTTGCTCTCCAATCAAATTTCTCTTTTAAAAAGATAATAAATATCCCAAACGATGAACTT